ATGCTCCTCTTCTTGAAATCTACATATGGGAAAGTAAAGCAATACCCTGAAGAAGAACAAGATGAGAAAAACAAGAAGATTAATGAAACATGCTGCTGCACATCCCTAACTGTTTGGAGAAAATCACTTCTCTTCAGCTGCAAAGGTTTCACTGTTATTGGTTCTGATGGCAGTTTACTCTATAGAGTTGATAATTACACTGGACATCCTAATCAAATCATTCTCATGGATGGCTCCGGAAATCCCATTTTCACTATCTGTAAACACAAGGTATGCGTTTTGTTTTCATTCTTGTTCTTATTTTGTTGAACCACCTAGTCTAAAAACTATGGAAAGGATACACATATGTTTGTTTAAATTCAGTCTAGTGATGTATTTCTTGTTTTCTTGATATGGTATCAGAAACTCAGGCTAGTAGACAACTGGCGGATCTACGAAGGAGAAGTTGGCGAGGATTGTAGCATTAAGACAACATCCAAGAAACCTATTTACAGTGTGAAGAAAAACCTCAACATAATACAAACAAATCTAAATGTTCTTGCTTATGTTAACGGTGGAATGTCTGATAAGAGATACGCATACATGATTCAAGGGTCATACGCAAATCGATCCTGCAGAATTTTGGATGATTCAAGAAAGGTTGTAGCAGAGATCAAGAAGAAGGAGGCTACAAATGGAGGTGTATCTTATGGTTTGGAGGTTTTTCTTTTGATTGTACGCCCAGGATTTGATTCTAGATTTGCTATGGCCGTTGTATTATTGCTTGATCAAATGTTTTCTTGATCTTTTCTTTGATTTATATTAAGTCATTCGTTTCTGTTTGATTAATCTGATGTTACTTATTATCTAAGTTCGTGACTAAGAGAAAAAACTTTAAAGTTCATTGTCATGAGTGTGATGTAGAGATTATATAGAAGTTGTTACATCCATAGCAAGCCTAAACTTCTCAGAGGGAAAACCTGTCATCGCCAACTTTCACTAGATTCTCAGGCTTCATTGTTAATGATTTGAAGGAAAAGGAAGTGTAATAATCGAATACAATACAAAACAAGCAAGATCCGTGCACGAATAACCCTCTTTAATTCACTGATTGGAGAACAAATTGACTACAATTCTAATCCTAAGTTCGGAAAGTGATTAAAAACCAATAAATTAGGCAAAATATCCTATTGCTAAAACGACTTCAATAACCATTAAACAAATAAAACAATTTAGTCTTCGATTTAAAAGAAATAACTTTATTTACCAAATTATGGGATCAGCCGAGACAATAGGTCACGACCAGCTCTTCAAGTTTCCTTCGAGACAATGTCTGCATCAATCTCCCGAGGGTAAAACCTATTCTCAAGTCGACAATGATCATAGCAGCAGACAAATCATCCCTAGGAATGAACCTCACATCTAGAGGTGTCAAGACGGACGGGCCGGCCATGACCCGTGAAAACCGGCCCGTGAAAACCGGGACCGCGGGCCGACCCGTGACCCGTGCGGGCGGTTCACGGGCCA